TCAAGATAAAATGTTAAAGACAAAAAAAAAAAACTTAAAAAAATACAGATTTTTGATCTGGACATTATTTACTGTTTGGTCTTTAAAAAAATGTAACATCTAAATTATTATACATATTATTATACATATAATGTTTTCTGTGATGTCAATTAATTATATAAATATTAAATTGTAAAAATGCTGATATGTTTTGCTGATTTAAATACAGTGACATTTTTTGTTATTTAACAGCAAATTTAATGTAAAAAATAGAAATCTGCTGATATTTAAATGTGTATATTATTGTGAAAAACTGAAAATGTTCTGTTGTGTAAAAATAAACGGATATTTAACCATATTGCAGTAAATCTAAAGTGAACGATGACATTTTGCTGCTATTTAACATCCTGTAGAGACAAACTGAACAGTCTCTGGTGTTAAATGTGTAAATCTGTGACGTATGCCGGGTTGTTCATGGAGGGAACGTCTCAGATTCACCTCCAGATCATAAAAAACTAAACCACATAAGAACCAAACAGACTCCACACAGTTCATCATAACATAAAACCTGCAGTGAGTTTTCCTCACATTTAACCAGAAATGTGACGGAGAACACGAATGAAACACTGATGTGACGTCTGGATGCTTCCAGAAAACCAGCAGCTGCAGCTTTAAGGAAACCGAGACAATTAGTGAAAGTCTGATTTAAGTTTATGGAGGAATCACGGCGGAACAGGAAGTTCTCTAACGAGCGTCTGGAGCAGGAAACACCAAGGATTCACTGGAGACTGACAGAAAACAACGTGTTTCCTCTTTATAAGCTCTGAACAGCCTGTCAGCGGCTCCACTCATGCTTCCTGTTCTTCTTCATATGTTGAGCTCTTATTTTGAAAACCTCTCCTGACACTTCCCATTCATCTGTCTCTGAGTCACTCTGCCGGCCTCCTGAACTTCTGACTGACTGTTTCCGACTTTCGGCCTCTCTGACCTCCGACCCTCCAGATGTCAGAACTCACCGGTCCAACCGGCCTGGCAGCGGCAGAACCCGGTCACCGGGTCGCAGCCATCCGAGTTCAGGCAGTCGCATCGCTCTCTGCAGTCCAGTCCGTAGGATCCCTCCTGACCAGACAGAACAACGACAAGAGCATCTGTCAGCAGTAGTCAAAGGTTTCATACAGACATATTTATCTTCACGTTATTTTGACGTTTTCAGGTTTACGATTTGTTCAGACTGTAAACTTTATAAACTTAAATATTACAGATGTTTGAATCGTTTCACCGTCTTCACTTCATAATAACAGATTTATTCATTTATTTGTTTTTCCTTTCTATATTTGTGCACACTGTTTATTTTTATTTCAACATTACAGATGAATTTATTTTTAATGTTGCAGACGATAGTTTTTCGTATAATTTTAACAATATTTTTCTACATTTTGTGACTGTTTACACCGCGCATCATTTTTTTAAACATTAAATCAGTTTTCAGTCCATTTTAGTTGTTCTGTGAACAGTTCTCGTGTCTCATACGGTTTATATTCAGTGTTGTTCTGTTTAAACCTCGTTAACCTGCGGTGACGCGTCGCTGCGACTCGTTTTCGTGCCTGACTGAAGGACAAACATGAATAACTTCCACCCACCGGACAGGGCACGTCGCAGAACTCCTCCCTCCACCCCGGCGAGCAGCTGCAGGTCCCGTTTGCCGGATCGCAGGCGGCTTCGTTGCTGCACTGACACGTCTGGTTGCAGCCGAGGCCCCAGGTGCCGCTGGAGCAGGGGATGGAGCAGTCGACGCCCTGCCAGCCTGCGAGCAGGGAGACAAAACCCACGGGGTCAGTTCACCTGACAGGTGACACAGCTGCTTCATTACAGTGGAGATGTTCAGACATGAATTATAAATGAACTCATTAAAACACAAAGAGACGCGATACAGTCTGTGTTATTTAAACCAGATCAGACGAACAGGAAGTGATGAAGAATGAAAACGATCGATCAGCTGCTTCCTCAGAACAACATGAACGGAGTCATTTTAAGCATCAATCAGCTGATTTCCTGCGTTCTCATGGATGCTTTTTTATACCAATTTATTCTTTTTCTGCATCAAATCTCTTCATTTATAAATAAGGAAACACAAACTGCAGATTTAGTCATAATCATAAAAAAAAATGTTAAACTCTGAAAATAAATCTCATCCTTTATCATTTATATATCAAATGTATTCATATATCAATGTAATGAACTGATATTTATGTAAATTATTAATATATCTTTTCAAAATGTCATTCTGTCTCCACGTTTTCTACTTTTTTTATTTGTAATTTTAATGTTTTTTTTGGTTCTTAACGTAGAAAATCCAGCGATGACGTCAAAAACCTGATTCTAGATTTACATCAGTGAATAATTAGCATTTTATAAACACACACACACACACACGTTTATGATTTAAACAATTTTTAAAAATGCAGTTTCTGAGCTTCGTTTGAATATAAACCTTCACAATGTTTATTTTTGTTCTTAACAAGCAGAAAATGACATCAAAACTGATTCTACGTCTTTATCTATATCACATGTTTAATATCTAATTTAATCACATTTTTAGTTTAATTTTATAGCTTCATCTGTAATTTTTCCTGTTTTTTTTTCTTTAATTTGGTTCCTAACGTGCACAACTAACGAGCTGATGAGTTTTCCTCTAATGAAGAACGAATGTTTGATCCGTATTTGACGTGAGTCTGAATTATGTTTAATTATCTTCCTGATTTGTGGCGTTAATCCTGCACAAATGTTGATCCGGTTTCCAAACACAACTTAAACGCTGAACTTTTCCTCCTCAGAACAAAGAGCTGCTCTGTTCGGGCTTTAATTACCTGAGATCCCAACGAGCTTCGGCCGCATTAATATTTAAAGGCGCTGATATTGAGAGATATTAAGCGAAGCCGAGAACAAAACACGGAACGAGGAAAAGTTCTGCAGACGCAGAGCAAATCTGGAGGAAGAGTTCAGACCGTTTACTGGAGTAGAAGTACTAATACTGCACCAGGAAGTACTGTGGTAGTACAAGTACAAGCCCTGGATACACAGTAGGTTCAGTGTCAACGACCAAAGTAGAAAAAATAAGTTATGAATTAATCTGACAAGTTAAATATTGTGATTAAAACTCTGTGATGCTATTTATGGTGTAAATTTAAATATTAGGCATAAAAACCCTCCAGAAAATTAAATATAACCCAACTTTACTTTAATATTAACACTCAGACTTTACAGCTCTATTTATTATCGATATTATATTTTTTTAAAAAAAACAAAAAACAACAAATTGGACAATTACATTTTTATTTAATTTTACAATATTTGTATTTTACTCAATTTATTTATTTATTTATTTTTACAATATTTCACAACTTTATTTTATTTAGTTTTTCTCATTTAATTTATTTAATTTTATTTTTTAACTTATTTTATTTATTTTTTTTATCATTTAATTTGTTATCATTTCTTTTTATTTTTAATTTTATCATTATTATTTTATTAAATAATTTGGAGGAAAAGTAACAAATCTTTGCATTTGTGAAGCTTCAACCATAAAATATGTTTAAAAATCATCACGCTGCCACTTCGTTTACTGTTTCTGACATTTTCTTTATTGTTCCAAGTTGGCTGCTTATTTAACACTTTTCATGTGTTTTGGTCACAAAAATCTGAATCTAACGCTCTCAGATAAAAGTGTATATATATTGAATATTTCCCTTTGAGTTGTAATAAAGTAAAAGTACTCGAGTAAATGTAAATAACTGTCCAAGAGCTTCACTGGAGAGTTCAGAAGAAGGTTTGGATCACAGAAGCTTCATGAAACGTCTAAAAACAGCTGAAACTCACGGTAACAGTGATGATTTAAATAAATCTGGCTTTTACAGAATCGTTACTGGGTTCGGTTCTGGCCGCTCAGAACATCAGCTGCAGATCAATGAACCGATCAAGTGATTAATCTGATCGATCTCTGAAGGCGGCGATGATGAAGATGTGTTCACGGTTAGAGACTACGTAAAGATGAATTAGAAGATGGTGAAAACTTCCACTCCAGGTCCAGGTTCTGCTGGAGAACACGACGTGGATACGAGTGCAGAGAAAACACTTTTTTGGGTTTTTTTTCCTGACAGATTAAAATGAGTGTTTGCGGCGACAGAGAGAGTTCTGGAGAATAAAGAGGAGCTGCAGCGAGACGGATCTCCAGAACACAGCAGCAGCTACAGGAGGAGCTTTGAACCGGAGCCCAGAACAAAACCCTCCATCTGTGAGGACCGCGAGGCGTTCAGGGACACCCGGAGGAGGCAGCTTCTCCCCGTAGTGACTCCTGAACACAAACATTAGAACAGGAAGGAATGAAGGAATCGGAGGAACCTTCTCTGCAGACGCAGGACCCGTCCACGTGCGAGCAGGAGACCTCGTTGTGGCAGGAACACGAAGTGGTGCAGTTGGTCCCGAAGAGGCCGGCGGGACAGCTGATGGAGCAGTCGTCGCCCTGGAGACAGGAAACAGGAAGTAGAAAGTGAGAGAAGCACCATGAAGCCAGCTGGTTGGTTGAGAGAAGCAGAGCTGAGTTTCTTCTCTCCATCAGGTTCGTATCTGATGATCTGAGTTAAAGGTCCCACATGGGGGGAAAGTTCCTCGTTTTTCTGTGTAAACAAAAATAAAACACCTTAAAACACAGCAGCAGGCAACATCGATTTCTTTTCTACATTTACCAGAACACAGGATATAAACTTATTTCTCTACTTCGATAAAAACTCTGCATGACCACTGACATGTGCAAAAACGTTCTCTCTATAATTAGTACTGATGTATATCCTGGTTTAGTTTGGTTTACTTTTACGTTTCCTAAATGTTTTCACCAACGTTGCACATGTCCCCACTGTGGGATCAATAAATCTTATCTTCAGCCTGTCAACAGACGAAGATGTTTACGACGTCAAAGCCTCCCAGCTTTACAAAAGAAGTGAGAATTTGACCTAATGAACCAATCATCATCCAGCTCTGTGTTGGCCCGCCCCCTCACTGCTTCCAGGTGAGCCAATCAGAATGAGCCTCTCAGTCCACCAGCTTTATTTACTTCCTGCAGCTGAAACTCTAAAATGTCTGAACCACGATCAAAACTCACCAGATGTTCTGCTGTAAGAGTGAACACAAGAGTCTTCATGCACTGACACTGGAACAAAATGACTTGAAAATTAATCGAAAATTATTCAAAATCTTTCCAAAATGACTCCAAACGTGTCCAAAATTATCCAAAATGTGTTTAAAATGATTAAAAAATTGTCCCAAATGACAAAAACTTGTTTAAATTGTCCAAAATGAATAAAAAACTGGCTGCAAGTGTGAAAACCAGAGTCGTTATTCAACCAAACTTGCCCAAAATGACGTGAAAATTGGTTCAAAATGATTCAAAATGTGTCCAAAGATTGTCCAGATGGACTAAAAACTTTAAAACCACAAGAAAATCTCACCAAATGTTCTGCTGTTGGCTGTAAGAGTGAACACAAGAGTCTTAATGCACTCAAACGTCCTCAAAATGGCTGAAAATTAGTTCCAACTTTTTCAAAATACATCCAAAGATTGTCCAGATTGACATGAAAACTTTAAAACCATGAACAAAACTCACCCAATGTTCTGCTGTAAGAGTGAACACAAGAGTCTTCATGCACTCAAACGTGACCAAAATCACTCTACATGGTTTGTATGAAATAATTCCAAATCTGGCCCAAATGACTCCAAACGTTTCCACAATTATTACTTCATAGAAAGACAAAGACAGGAAGTAGAACCAACAGAGACACACCAGGAAACAGATGTTTTAACAATAAACAAAGCAAACTGCAAGAAAACACCTAAAACGCGACATTTAAAAAGAGAAACTTGTAGAAAAGCCCAAACTAATGGAGCCCAGAGCAGCACAGCTAACGTTAAAACAACGGATAAATAACTTCTGCTGCACCAGCGCCTCACAAACTCCCACCGTGGAGCAACAGCAGCAGCTTTTTTTATTGCACTGGTTCCTGCAAACAGTCCCACGGTTCTGAGCCCGGCTCCATGTTTTATAGATCCAGGAGCCGCCGGTCTGCAGGAGAACCGGTGCAGGAGGTCCAGCTGCCTCCATTAGTTAAAGTTCAAACCCCGCATAGAGGCGTCCTCGCGCAGCCTCCTCCTCTCTTCTTCCTGTCGGTTGCATCACGAGCTGCGAGGTCTGAGGAACCGGACCGACTTGGATCCATTGTGGACCTGATGCAACAGACATGTATAATAGAGGAGCAGAGGATCGATGGCGGACGGACAGCTTGGCATTAAGCTCCGTTAGCATGAGAGCATCCATCAGGACCTCCAACATGTAAACGGCGCTAATGAAGGCCGCCTGCTCCCAACCTGCCTCTAAAATGTATTAATCTAATATTCACAAAGCCGGCCAAGAGGCGGGGGAGGAGGAGAGGGCCTTATTAAAAAGTTGGAGAATTAACGACTTTTTAAATAAAACTTTGTTAATAAATAAGGTGTCGGGAGCAGGCAGGAGGATCCCCGGAGAACCAGGAGGCCACCGCAGGAATGAGAAACAGCAGCCGCTCGATGCTCCTGCTATTTATCTGCACGTCTGACTTCCAGCTGCTTTTTATTTGTCTTACGGTGAATTCAGGTTTTTTCTCCTTAAAGCTGCAAACAAGCAGGATTTAGATCTCATTAAAAATATCAGCGTTAGTCTCTTTAATCTGTGTCGTCCTGTTATTTCAGCTTGTGGGTAAATTTGTACATTAAATAATATTACAGGGTTAAAGATGATTGTTTTGGGATGAACAGTGATTTGTGTGGAGTAGTGAGAATAATGCCAGATTACAAAAATAAATCAATAAAATAATAATAAAATGAAAGTGGAAATATAAAGAAGAATAAATAAATTAAAAAATAAATAATGTGGCAAATATAAAGCAATGTTAATCAAAAATTAATCCATAAAAGAAACGACTAATGAAAATAAAATAAAATAGAAATAAATAAAATAATATTTATATTTTTTAATTTTTTAAAAAACTTTTTTACAGTGATTTATTAGTAATTTTTTGCATTATTTTTTAAATTTAATTTTTTCTTTAAAATTTTTTTAATAATGTCGCTTTAAAAGCAAAGGAAGGAAATATGCGCAGAAAAATGTATATCTTTTAAAGCGATATAAAAAATAGACGAATATTGGTGTATATTGCCACATCATCTATTTTTTATTTTATTTGTTCTTCTTTTTATTTCCACTTTTATTGATTTTATTTTGTAATTTGGCACTACTCTCACTACCCCATAGATTTGACTTGACATTAATTAATTAATCTGAGGTCAAACTAATTAGAGCTGCAGGTCAGAGCTCCTGAGCAGCTTCCCTCCTCTGGTCACACTTCTGAGAAAAACTTCAGATATAAACATGTTTTCAGCAGCTTCTGGACGTTTTAATGTGTCACTTTATAGTTATTTAACTTCAGAAATCAGTCGTATGAGTTGTCGTCCTGCTCGGTGTCTTTCTACATCAGTTTCAAGTCGTCTTGGACGTTGTTTTCTCCATTCGTTGCTTCTTTTGGTTTGATCTACTGCGTTCTACGCTGACAGAAGACGTCTCTGAGTTCTCTCTCCTTCTTCTTTGTTCTGGTTCCTCAGAGCTGCAGGACTTCATGTTGCAGAGAAACATGAACCTCAGTGAGGAAACATGTCCAGAATCTGCTGCTTGGAGTTAAAACAAACTAAACAAACCAACAGTCTCACAGTTTTTTCGTCTAAATCCATCATAATGCAGCTTCTAGTTGAGATCTTTGCTGCTTCTCAGCCGTCAGACGGGTCAGAAACACGACACTGGACATTAAACAGCTCCGCATCAGTTCATTATTTTACCTCCTTCATGTGCGCAGCTGATTATTTTCTGGTGAAGCTTCCTTTAACTGTTTACATCTAAACAACAGATGTAAACAAGCACTATGAAGGGGAGTCGAGCGTCGACCCTCCAGACGTCTCCTCATGTCATCGACGAGCAGCTGCCTCGTTCTGCGACGGCTTCGCTGCTCGTTTCTGCTCGTTTCTCTTCCTGCTGCTGGTTTTGATGTCACACATGTTTTTTGCAGCGAGCTCTCTGCAGCCTATAGGCAGATTTCAGGATCCGCCGGGAAATCAATGCCAAGAATTTGTCATAAAATATTACAAAGCTGCTGCCAAAAACTAAATATTTTGTGGGAAGCAGGTGGAGAGGAAGAGCCGGCAGAGGGAGGACAAACTGGAGTTATATTTACATGGAGTTTAGATGGAGCTGCTGCAGAACCTGTATTTAGTTCTAACTTTATTATCACTGCACTCTGAAGAACAGTGTTTGGGCTCAACAGAGGAAATGTCACAACGGCTCAATGTTCTTCAGCTACAACAACTTCAATCAAATGATTCAACATCAAACTCCACTGAACTACAGGAATTATAAATATAAATAAATATAACAAATATAATCATTGGCAGCATAAACATGAGTCTTTACGTTGATGACTCAGAGGTGAAGTCTTTCCAATGAGTATGATTTAAACAACATTTTGTCTTTCAGGTACTTAATTGCCTTAATTACAAACACACCACCGCTGGTTGGAGGTCCTGAACCTCCTCAGAGTCTCTGTCATGGTCCCGTTGCTGCTAAACTCCCACAATGCTCTCTGCTGCCACCAGGAGCTGTAGGCTGTAGACGCCTCCTCTGGTCTCTACAGGATTAAACAGGAAGAGGCTCCACCTGGTGGAACAACCAGGTACTGCAGCTGGTCTATGATACGTTTACTGACATCATGTGGAGGATACAGGTTCCTACCCTCTAACCCTACCTGTAGACAGGGTTCTACTGGAGCTGTACTACAAGGTTCCACCTGCAGAACGTTGAGGAACAGGCTGGAGGCAGGAATGCAGGTTGTTTCTTAACGCATTGCAGAGCCGCTCAGCTGCCAATTTAATAACTATAATGTACTCCAAGTTTGTATTATTGAGGAAAAAGGTACGATATCGGGCCTCTACTTTGGCAGATACTAAATTTTAAATGACTTGGGGGCAAAAAGCCTCGATTGCGAGCTCTCTGCTTTATGTACAGTTCTACGTACAAACCCTGTCTGACAAAAGCTGAGCTCCAAATAAACTGCATCCTGTATACGCTTTAAATTATTTCCTCCCTGAAAGGTCAGACTGCAATGTAGCCGCAAACATCTGAGGGAGAACAACACCCGGCGGGCTGAGGTCTGGATCCCATGTGGCCGTTTTATTTGCTATATTAATAAATATATGTGTTAAACTGTCTTTTGTTCCCACTTTCATCCCAGTGCTCAACAAACAACAGAACTCCTAACGTGTCCGACCACATGTAATCTACACGCTTCATCTCTGGACCCCGTCTCACGTTTTATTAGAATTATCTATCTGTTAAGGTGCATTCACTGATTTTCCATTTATTATTTTTTAACCAAGTGACATTACCTCATAGAAAACCGTTTCCACATTTTTGGTAAATTCTTGTCCAGAAAAATCCAATTTCAATTGACCAGGATTCAAGCAAGAAATTATTATTATTATTACAATTATTATTATTATTATTATTATTATTATTATTATTATTATTATTATTGTTGTTATTATCAATGACACGAACATATAAATAAAATACGGTGGAGAAAGGAGCCCATAGAAAAAGGGATTCTAAGCTGTATTCTTTGTTTAAACTGTCTTTCTGGAGTTCTTGAACATGGGCAATGAAGAGGAACGTATCTGTAATTTATTTCCATTAAAGCAGTTTTGCATCATTTGCTTTGCCTTTAAATCCACTCTTTCAGGCACAGTCACACTGATAATAATGATAATTCTCTGTATGTTTTCTCACAGCTGCTTCTGTGTTTCTGTGGTTTAAACGACTGTCGAGCTTCTCTTGGAAAAGAAAACCTGATAAAACCTGAAGCAGGGCAGTAATCCGAGTGTCCCGGAGGTCCGCAGACGCAGTGACACCAGTCAGAGTGAAGGCTCGGTGGAAAATGGTTCTTTTTCCAATTTAGAGGCTGTAAATAACACTTGTTCCACAGCGAGTGTTTCCATCTGTGTGAAGCAGCAGCAGCAGCTCCTCGTCTGATGACAGCTCGGTGGCGTTGCTGCAGATTTCAGACCTTGGCTCAGAGTTGCACATGTTTACATGCATCGATCCAACTGTCCCGACCGGTGACAATAGCACGTATAAATTCTGTTTAAAGCCCGCTTCTTGTCCACACACTGCCCCAAGTGTGAGGTACCAGCGCAGCATAAATTCTCTCTGAATCAATAACGCTCCGCCGAGAGCCGCATCTGTCTGAGTTCAGCCGCTACGAAGCAAACCGACGCTCATCTGCTTTCATCTGCCCAGAACCCCGACGGCCTCCGCCAGAGCCGCCGTCACCCCCCCGCTCAGAGGCTTCATCTGGGATGAGCCGGCGCAGCGGGACGGCCAGGCCTCACCAGTTAGAAACACCAGTTAGAAACACCAGTTAGACACCAGTTAGACACCAGTTAAACACAAGTTAGACACCACTAAAACACTTAAACACCAGTTAACCCTAACTCTAATCATAATGGGAACCAGTTTAAAGGGGCTGAAACACACCGGGAACCAGTTTAAGAGACTGAAGCACACTGGGAACCAGTTTAAAGAGGCTGATGTCTTCATGGTTCTTGGTTCTGATGAACATACAGTGAAGTCTGGATGCTGATGAGCAGATTTTTCGTTAAGCAGAGAATAAAAACCACCTAAAATCATTCCTGTGCCTTCAAAAGTTAAAATAAACTGTGTTTGTTTAAATATGTCATAGATGGTGTGATGTGTTCATTCCAAATTAAACTTCATTAAAAGACACCACGGTTCTTCCGACAGGCTTCATGTGCTCTAAAGAAACCAGCTGAAGCTCCAACCTGTTGATCAACCTGCTGCTGTGCAACTACAAGAAGAATTCAATGCAGGAAAGTTGCTCAACATCCAGCGTTTGACACCATGTAGAGCCACGTGATGTTTCTGGATGATGTGCAGAAGTGGAAGCATATAAAGAAAATAAGTCTGGTCTCAGAACTGAGCCCTGTGGCACACCGTAGTTAATTAAAGACACATAGCTGGTCCCAGTGAACCAGAACCTTCTATTTGATGAAACCTATTGTAGACGTGCTCCACATATGGAGACTTTACTTCCACTAAGTGTCATTAAATCTTAATCAACGTTCCTACACCGTCCTTCCTGTCCTGATGCAGAAACTGTGGAGACCAGCTTGTTCTCACGCTGCCAGATGAGGCAGAACCTGAGCGTCTATTCAGCTGCCTCCAGCCTCCCTGCTCCTGCCCTCGTACCTCCACGCTGACCTACATCGCAGCACCTGCAGCAGCCGTTTTCATTACAAGCCGTGAACCTGCAGCGTCAACAGCAGCTCATAAATTAGCTCCATGATGCGGCGCATGTTCTGCACCTGCTGCTGCTGCTGCTGCTGCGGCGCCTCGATGCATTATCTGAGTCGGGCGCTGGTCCTGCCGGGCCTCCAGACCCTCCGGAGCCGTACAGCGCCACTCGTTTACAGTAATTTCTGAGGAAATCCTTTTGGTTTCTTGCAGTTACGACCTCAGCGCTGGTGTTTCTGCTCAGACCTCCAGCTGATGCAACGCTCTAAGAGTCACACGTAGAGACGTTCATTAGGCCGGTTTAGTCAATAGCAGCGTGTTCTGATCAAAGACAGCATGGTCCTCCTAAGACCCAGCAGAAACCGGGAGGTTTCTCAGGGGTTTCCCTCCTCTCATCACATGTTGTATCATCCACTAATGGATCAAACCGTAAAGAGCTTTAAAAAGGTCAGGAAACTGTGTTTTCTACTTCCTGGTTCCTCCCCTTTAACTTGGAGCCTCTTTCTTGCACAAATCAGTCATCAGTGTTCAGACGGTCTTTTACGACCAGACTGACTTCAACACAACCACAAACATCAAGATCAACACAACACATCGCAGAGAAAAGCTAAAGGTCCCACGTTAGAGAAGCTCGAATCAGAGAACGTCTTGTAGAAATGACTAATTAATCGATGTTCAAAATGACTGCCGGTTAATTAAACTGTTGAACTGATGAATGACAGCAGCTCTGTTCTGTTTAAAAGAAAACCAAATCCCCTAAATGACATCAATGTGAGAAACAGAAGGAATCGTCTGATTTTCAACTTTCTGAGGGTCCTTAAACGCATCACCTGTGATGCACAGATCAAAGTGACTTTATTCTGTTTGCACCAGGAGAACACCTGAACAGCAGCCTGGAACAGTCCTGGAACTTTTGGATCAGATCTCGTATAAAAAACTTGAACGCCAAACCAGGTTAGAGTTAATCTGAGATCCATTCCTCTGAGCGTTTCTGTCTGATGTGTGTTTATTTTAAGCGACTAACTGACACATCGACAGGGTTTCGATCAGCTCAACTGCAACTGCTGCAGCAGAAAACCTCCCAGACAGAGTTACAGGCTGGAAGCTGTTTGCAGGATGAAGCTGGACTTTTATTTGTAGTCCTTAAATCACTAGAATGTTCTAATGTTTAAAAGCATTTTGAACGGGTGGCGTCTCTCAGCAGAGCGCCCCCTGCAGGCAGCCAGCTCTTGGTCAGACCTGGAACTGGTTGCCTGGAGGCCGCCGAGCCGTTAACCTCGTTCACGACTCGTATGTAGGCTGCTGACGTGGAGCAGAGCGGCGGAGCGGATCGATGCCGACGTCCAGCCTGTGACGGGGTCAGACTGGGTCGGCTCGGTCCGGCACATCCAGGCCTACACGTCATCAGCCTCACAGCCGGTCAGATGTGTTTCACACGTTCAGCTCTTTGTTTCTGGATGACTCTCGTTGATCTTCCTGGTCTGGCGACGGCACTTTGGATCAACTCGTCCCTTTAACCTGATCTTCTGATTAAAACTGCTCCACTGCTTCGTTAACACTCGGCTAAATGTTTCTGCTGCGACTCAACCTGTGTTTTCTTTTGGCAAAACCTTCAAAACTCAAGTTAATGTCTTTAAAGTGAAGCTGCAGCAAAGCTCACTGGAGAGAAATCAGATGGTTTCAGTGCATCCAGCTTGAACCAGCAGCGTGAACATCATCTGATGACTTGATCTGGATGACCTCACCTGGGCTGCACTGCCAGTCGGTCCAACGGTTCTGTTTTTGAAGTGAATCTGAAGATGTTCAGGATGACTTTAAGCAGCACATGAGGCCATTTTCAATCCATGAAATGCTGAGTTTTATAAATTTGGCACCAATATCAACATTCACAGCCTCGTCTTCCTGCTGTGTCACCAGGAATCCTGTTACCTGTGCAGTTCTTCTTTAACGCCATGCGGTACAAACACAGGTGAGCTCGTCCACTTACGATGTATCCCGGCGCGCAGGTACAAGCTCCGGTGACGCCGTCGCAGTCGGCCCCGTTCATGCAGCTGCACGTCTCCCTGCAGCCCTCGCCGTAGAAGCCTGACGGACAGGTCTCGTTGCAGTAAAGCCCCGCCCACCCGGCGGCGCAGGTGCACTCACCTGACAGAGGGTGGCAGCTGGGAGAGCAGAGACCAGAGTCAGAAACACAGAACGCTGCAGGTTCAATAAGTCCGTTTTAATGTCGTCTCTTTGTGTGTTTGATCACTTTAATGATTCTGCTGAAGGGCTGCGATGGAAACCAGCCAGCTGGCGGAAAGAATCGTATTTACAGACGCTTGATTCATGGAAACGCAGAAAAGAAAGAAATTAAGAAAGAAACTTTCCATATGTTTGTATAAAAGACGGTGACACAGAAAAAGAAAAGCCCATTAAAGCCCTTTTCTTACTAACGGTCCTGATGTGAGGACAGCTAATTACACCAGGAGCTGGAAGTCGTGCATTTCATTAAAACATGATGAAACCTTTTCTTTGTTAAAAAAAATAAATAAAGAACTATAGTAATGTATGAAAAACACATATTTGAAGACTCTAAACCCCAAAACCTGGGACATATATATATATATTTTAAATCCACTAAATAAAACCATTTATCAGCCAGAAACCATAGAAACAGAATAAATCAGCAGGATTTTCAGCTTTCTGACTGTCTGTGAACGCATCGTGTGCGATGAGCAGCTCCATCAGGAAAAATCAGGATGTTTCATTAAAATCACTTCATTTCACACATTTAAAGGTTCGTTAAATTAAACTGATTCCACCTGATGCTGCTGAAAAGCAAAAGTCTGCTGGCTGAGGGAACTTTAGTGTTTTTAACCCTCCGAACCCAAAACAAACAAAAAAAACAAACTAAATTAGACAGTTTGTCAGAAACGGTAAAAACAGAACGTTTGTCAGAGTTTTAACTTCCCAAAAGTCCTCGAACTAATCACGTCAGCAATACTAACATTTGAGAGACGATAAACGACATAAACGAGACCCTAAACGACAGCCTGTAGGTCGGTTAGTGTCTATATTATGTAGAACCTCGTAGGACTCATAATTAGTCCAAAAATAAACATAAACTGGTCGTAATTATTTTTAAAAAATGGATCTTTGAACAAATTTGGAGTAAATTCAGACAGATTTTGAGTAACTTTGGAAGTTCTTTGGTATTTTAGACAATTACTGCACAGAACCATCTCTGAGTTCTGTCTCCTCCTGCTTCATGTTCTGGTTCCTCAGAGCTGCAGGACTTCATCCATCATCTCTACACCTTCATCCTCACTATGGGGGGCTGGAGTCTATCCCAGCTGACTCAGGGTGAAGGCAGGTTCACCTGGACAGGTAACCAGTCTATCACAGGGCTACACTTAGAGACAGACAACCGAGCTTTTTGGAGTTCAGAGGATTAAAACTTTCCTGAGTACAGACACAAAAGTTCTGCATTTCTACTGAAACATGTGAAAACGCAGGAGTTCAGTGATGCATGAACAGCTGATGTTTGAATCATTTACGGCTGAAGCCAAAACCTGACGGAGAAACAAAACCTGGACGTGAAGTCTGAGAAGCTGCAGGAACCGCTGACGGAGCAGAACCTACCTGAGGGTGTTGGCCGTCTTGCAGGGACAGTATTTGTCACAGATGAGTCCGTAGAGTCCGGCGGGGCAGAACCGGTCCTGGCAGCTGGGACCCTTGAAGCCTTCGTTGCAGAGACAGGCTCCGTTGATGTGGTAGCACTTGGCCCCGTTCTGACAGTCGCACTTGTGAGCACACTGAGGTCCGAAGGTACCGACCGGACACTCGTCCTGACACCTGAAACACAAGCAGGAGGGATTTAGTCTTTCTCCACCTACCAGTGTCCAGACAGCAGCTTCCCAACATGCTGGAGTTCATTCAGCTCCAGTTCCTGGAGAGACAAACCAGAACCAGACCAGAACGCCGTCCATCTGATCTACACACGTCAGTGTTTGGAGAAGAAGTGCAGGAACTCTGAAATAAACTGGATTCTCAATCGTCCAACACGATGCTGACAAGCTGTGTGATGTTCAATGTGTGTGTGGAGTTTCTATGATGATAACAACAACAACAACAACAACAACAACAACAACAACAACAACACAAAGAAAGTCTGACAGCAAAGGCAGCAGAAGTAAAATATTAAAACTGGTGGGGCAGTGAAATGTTCCAAAACTGTAAAAACTACAAATAACGGCAAATATCTCACATACTGAGACTTTTTAAATCCGATTTATGATTTTATGGTGACAGATGATAAAAGAACAGATATTTGATGTAGGCTTTTTTTTTAACAGTTTTTTTTATTTATTTTTTTACAGCTGACATGTAAATAAATATTTTATTTTAATATGATTTTGTAATCTGTCAAAATACCAAGAAAATATGATTAACCATGTTTTTATTCTTAATGCACAAACTTTTTTAAAATTTCAAATGACAGCAAATATCACTAAAATACCAGTAAGTTGTTTTAAAAATGACACCATGATAACCGTTCCTTTTTTACAGTGTAGTTTTGTTCCATTCATGTGAACTGCAGGTTGAAATGAGCCTGAAGCTAACTGGCTAAACGCATCCATGTTTAATAGCACACGGGTCCTTATGAATAAACTAAAATACTAAAAACTGAAGCCACCGCTGTCACACGGAGAGAAAAACGTCTGTTTCTGCTTCATGAACTCAACATTCGAGCTCCTCTTTAGGTGAAGCCAGATGACCATTAGTTCTGTGTCATCATCATCATATCACCAGAATGAGCCCGATGATGCTCAGAGGAGGCTGAACGATGCTCTAACACATCCACGGCTCACTCAGCGTCCATGACGGAGACAACAACAGCCGACTGGTTCCATCGACGAGCTGCTCATGGAGCTCAGAGCCTCGGTGGAGGTCAAAGCCTCCGAGGAGAAGAAGTTTCATCCGTCGGCATCATTCCCAACACGTCCGCGAGTCCCAACCATTAAGAAATAGACAAATCACTCAATTAAAGCGGCCCGGCGAGGACTTCTGTTTAGTGTCACGTTTAAATCACGCAGACTTCCTCGGGACTCTTATCTCGGCTAATTCCATTAGAACGTGGACGGAGCCGAGGAGAACTCAATCTGAGAATTATTCTGCTCGGCTAAATCACCTGTCTGGGGCCCAAATGAATGGATGTAATTTGGCTCAATTGAGAATAACGACGACGGAGGAGGAGGAGGAGGAGGAGGAGGAGGAGGAGGAAGGTGGAGGAGGAGGAAGGTGGAGGATGGGCGCTGACCACCACCGAGGCAGCAGCAGCACGACGACCAGCTCCACCGCGATGGAGGCAATAAAGCAGGAAGTCATCCTATTGGCTGCTGGAGGAAAACTTCTGGTGATGAAGGTTGGACAGAAGAGGAGGAGAGAGCAAAGTGGCAGCGATCCACGAGGAGGGATTTAAACCACAACTCCTGTTTAAGATGAACGACAGGAAGGACGACACACGCTGATTCTCTTTGACCATTTCTCCTTCATTTAACAAAACCTGACGGCAGGTTTAGAAAAGCATGTCGTCTTTTAAATAGTCCAACACACACCATATACGGCAACTTTCCAACGGTCCTTGAACTGCTCATCTGTAACGTGGTGAATGAGTCTGAGGTTGATGTTCAGAGAAAAGGTGCGACGGCAGGCGGCCATGTTTGCTGAAAGCATTTGAGAGAGAACAAGAGCTGAAACCAGAAGTTTACCGTAAAAAAAAAGACAGAAAGCCTTTTTTATTTTCTCTCACTGTCTGACATTAAATCAGACTAAACTTTTCCTGTTTCAGCTCAGTCAGGATCACCAACATTAGTTCTATTTGATAAACGGCAGAATAATGAAAGAACTTTTTTTTTTTTATGACTTCCTTCAGAGTCAGAAGTTTCCATCCATCTCCTCAGTATCTGCTAGCGTTGCCTTTAAACTCTATGACTTGGATCAAACGTTCTGGGTTTCCTTCCACAAGCTTCTCAAAACAGTCTGATGAGTTCTGGCCCATTCCTCCTGACAGAACTGGTGGAACTGGGTCAGGTTTGTTGGCCTCCTTGCTCCACTGATGTTCTCCAGGACTGTATATTAACTAAAGTTTCACGACTCTTTCTCATTATACACAACTGAGTTTTCATTTCAGTATTATTATTATTTTAAATGTTTCCTTTATTTCTTCATGTTGTCTTTAAAACCGTCCCCCAATTCCTCCATTGATCAGCCAGACTCCTCAGATTGGCTGCTGATGAATTGTAAGGTGGAGAGGCGCTGTAAGGTAAGGAGGAGGAGCGACAGGTGAGTCAGCATTAATGTAAAGACATAAAGCAGTCGGAGCAGCTTCAGCTTCTGTTGCAGGTTAAAACACAACATCCATCCATCATCTCTACACCTTCATCCTCACTATGGGGGGCTGGAGTCTATCCCAGCTGACTCAGGGTGAAGGCAGGTTCACCTGGACAGGTAACCAGTCTATCACAGGGCTACACTTAGAGACAGACAACCAAGCACACTCACATTCACACCTACGGACAATTTACAATCACCAATTAACCTCAGCATGTTTCTGGACTGTGGGAGGAAGCCGGAGAACCCGGAGAGAACCCACGCTGCACGGGGAGAACATGGAGACTCCACGCAGGAAGATCCCGGGTGTCCTCACCGGGACGCCAACCAGAGACCTTCTAGGTGTGAGGCGCTAACGATGCTAACCACCGAGACGCCTGCAGCCCTAAAACACTCCATGTGGAGGATAATGTGATGAGGAACAAGAGAATAAAGGACCATTAGCTCATAGCCACGTGGTCAGATGATGATGATGATGATGATGATGATGATGATGATGAGGATTTCCACAAACACACATCTCCTCTGCTGCTGCTGCTGCGACCTGCAGGCTAATGAGGTTGGCGGAGGTTCTACTGTACATGATGTTTGGGAAAATCACATTTAATTGGATGAATTTAGGCGCTGGGCCTGGAGGTCGACGTGAGTCATAAAATACCTGAAAACGTTCAGTGTTGAGAGCAGAGGAGAGGAGAGGCCGGTTCGTCTTTGTGCTCTCACATGGAAACAGTTTCCAGAAATGAGGTCAGAAGGTCAGAAGACGATTAGAAAAAACAGGAGGGACGTGATTCAGCCTGAACGCTCAGAGCTCTGTTCTGTGTTTACGGGTTTTGTTCTGGCTTCTGTCTGACCTGGAACAACCTCAGATGTTAGAACTCGCTGCACTTCATTCCTATAATGTAGAAAACCCAGATCTAAGCATGTATTTATGCATGAATGTTTGATGCGGCTTCCCTCTAATGCGGCCACACCAGCTGCAGCGCCTCATTGTTTCTGTGGGCTTCCTGCTGTATTTACTGTTTATTGCGTATCTGCTCGTATTTATCTCTCTCTGCTGAATTCTGTTAATATTTGCATCTGCGATGAGCTAATTTCCCAGAAGGCCGAGGGGCTGCTGCACCGGCGTACCTCTCTCCGATGTATCCGGCGGTGCACTGACACTGACCGCTGATGTGGTCGCACAGGCCGCCGTTACGACACGTGCAGTCCTCGGAGCAGTTGATGCCGAATGAGCCGAACGGACACGGCTGGGCACAGACCGGACCCTGGGGAGGAAACGAGACCGGGTTCAGGACAACAGCAGAACCTGAGGAGGTGTGCAGGTTACCAACACTTCAGTGTGTTACATCAGAGTTATTGATCCTTTAATGATTAAAAATCCAAATTACTGACATTCTGGTTACATCCAGTTTTTTCATGTGTTATTATTGATACTTTAACGAGTTAATATCCACGTTATTGATACTTTAACGAGTTAATATCCACGTTATTGATACTTTAACGAGTTAATATCCACGTTATTGATACTTTAGTGCATTGATATCCAGACTACTGATACTTCTGTATGTTATTGTCCAGAACACTGGCACTTTGCTGTTTGATGTCCACGTTTCTTTCCCAGTTTGGGACATAACTACGTAGTTGTGTTGTTTGTGTAGTTGTGTAGTTGTGTGTTCGTACCACCCAGCCGGCCGGGCAGGAACACGCTCCGGTCACGTGGTGGCAGGTTCCTCCGTTCTGACACGGACATCGCTGCTCACACAGAGAACCGTGTTTACCTGGAGGACACGGTTCCTCACAGCTGCAGGCAGAGACGGTGAGGAGACACAAGGTTACAGCAGCTGGACTGGACAGGCGGGTCAGAACATCTGGTTCTGTATCTGCAGTACCTTTATTAGTATATTAAAATACATATTTCCCTCAAAGTGAGTCCTGTCTATAGATGGTTCTGGTAGGTTCTGGAGGTAAAATAGTCCTTCTATCGTCTAGAACTGGTTCTGACCCACTACCATCACACATGCTGATATGAGCCTGGAGAGTTTACCCAGAATGCACTTTGTAAAGTTTCCTCTGGTGACTGATCAGAACCAGAACCACATCCAGGGTACCAGTGATTGTTTCTGTGACTCTGTGTCACAGACATTAAACCGTTACCACGGTGATCCATCCCATAATACTGATGCTACCAGCTGCTTACAGAACATTTTGACCAACGTTCAGGTGAGTGTGGTCTTCTTATTCATTTTGGTTCATTTCTGACTCATTTAAAACAGGTTTTGAGTAAATGTTGAGTTTTTCTCACTTTATTCTAGTTTTGAGTCATTTTGAACCATTTTTGAGTAACTTCAAGCTTTTTCTAAATTATTTTGATAAAGTTTGAGGTTTTTTTTATTTCTGGGAGGTTTTTGTATTTGTGGACAACTTTCAAGGCAGTTGGTTGTAGAGACACAAACAGAACCAGGTCCAGTGTTCAGACTGAGACACCTGGATGGATGTAGAACTGATCTGGTGTCAGGTTCTAGCAGAACCCAGATGTGTTCTTCCTCCTAAATGTCATGTGTCTATCTGCTGTACTGATGAAGTTCTGAGGCTCAGAAAGGATGGAAAAAGTCCATTAAAGTGATCAATCTGGACCCTCCTCTGTGGACTTGAAGGACCTGGACCTCTGGAACATTCACAGTCTGAAGGTAGAACTCTGGTCAGTAGATGAAGCTACTGCAGATACAGAACCAGATGTTCTGAGGAGGTTCTGGAGGAACTGAGCCTTTCTTTGGGGATATGTACGGTATCACAGGAGACCCGTTTTGGTTCTGCAGGTCCACATGCTGCAGCTACTCACAAGGCTCCGGTGTATCCTGGTGCACAGAGACACTCTCCGGTCTGGTGCTGGCAGGTGGCGCCGTTGAGGCACTGGCACTCCAGCAGACAGTCCTTGCCGTAGAAGTTGGCGTCGCAGGGCTCCTCGCAGCGCCAGCCCTGGTAGCCGTCGGTGCAGACGCAGGCTCCGGTGATCGGGTTGCATTTGGCGCCGTTGCGGCACTGACAGCGGTTGCTGCAGTGGGGACCCCAGAAGTCGCTCTCGCAGCCTGAACACAAGGAGGCAACAGGTGATTTAGGGCCGGTGAGTCATGAGGCGCTGCAGGATTCACGACTCCCGAACAATGAAATCACCCAAATGGCAGCGTTAACATTTAGCAGAGACGAGGTGCAGCGAGGACACGGAGCAGGACGGTATTTATGAAACCTCTAACACCTGACGCAGCTCTGAGACGATGAAGTAACGTTCCTCCTTGGATCTGAGGAACAGGAGACAGGCTTAAATCTGACCGGTGTTACTCCGACTTACAACAAGCAAGAAAACTGTTATTCTGCAGAAGATTAGAAGCTAAATGGTGCCACAGAAAACAGAAGCTTTCAGATCCTGATTTGTAGCATCACTGCCTTAAAAAACCCCAAGACTGAGTGGAGAATCCATCCTACTGGATCAATGAATAGATGCAGCATGGATCAGAACCAGAGACCAGAGGAGCCAGTTGGTGGAGATACATTCATCTGATGGAGGAACAGGCAGCTGGCAAACTGCACCAAGACGTCAGTTATACATTAACATGTTATAAATGTGTCAAAAACTACTTCTAAACTCACCAAACCGATTCACAGCCTGTTCAATGTAACAAAAAACATCCGTTATTACTAGAAAGTTGTCAAAAAATGACTCAAAATGAACAAAAATAATCAAAGTCAGTTGAAAATTAACAAAAAAAGAGTCAACGAGCAGAGTAGAGTGAAGAATAAAATAGTTAAAGATCTATAGTATGTGGAGACAACGTTTTCTCAGAGTCGTGGACACAATTTGACCATCCATCATCTCTACACCTTAATCTTCACCAGGGTCATGGGGGGCGGAGCCTATCCCAGCTGACTCAGGGTGAAGGCAGGTTCACCTGGACAGGTAACCAGTCTATCACAGGGCTACACTTAGAGACAGACAACCAAGCACACTCACATTCACACCTACGGACAATTTACAATCACCAATTAACCTCAGCATGTTTCTGGACTGTGGGAGGAAGCCGGAGAACCCGGAGAGAACCCACGCTGCACGGGGAGAACATGGAGACTCCACGCAGGAAGATCCCGGGTGTCCTCACCGGGACGTGAACCGGCGACCTGTGAGGCGACGATGCTAACCACTGATCCACCTGCAGCTCACAATCTGACCAAAATAACAAAAATAACATCCATAATCACTCAAAAACGGGTTTAAAATGACTCAAAAATTAATGCAAAATGACAAAAAAAAAGAGACTAAAGTCACTGGTAAATGAACAAAACCAGTCAGTGTGCAGTGGGATGTGCTGTGGACATGTGGACAATGTTGGACGTGTTGATTCCAGATGTTCTAACACTAAACGAAGCCCTGAAAAGAAGCCATGAAGTTCCTCCTGATAAACAAGAAACTTATTATTTCTCATATTTACAGCAAAGTGCAGGAACAAGACTCAAGAAAACTGTTCTTCTACCACATGAGCTACATGAAGGGCTTTGATGCATCAATAAGAAAACCTCGTCCAGAAAACTGCAGGCGTTGATCTGTTCACGCTGGATGATGAACAAACTGCTCCAGAGTCCATCCAGGAACTGGACCGTGTTTAAATGATCTCTAGTTGTTGTTCAGACCAGATTCTCAGCTGAGGGGAGGTTGTTTAAACCAAACAGTTTAGACCTTGAACGCCTCACTGGGACGTTCTAACTCGGCTCTAAACACCGGCGCTGAAACAAACGGTGACGTGCAGCGAACGCAGCCTCCGCTCGGCTCACTGCTGTTGACTGAGCCAGCTGGTCTCTGAGCTCTTCAGGCTCACAGATACCTGAGTGCAGAGCAGCCAAGTCAACTTTATTTGTAAAGGGATTCCAAACTATGAACTCACATACACTAAAGCAGAGGAAGGAGGGCTCAGGATGAGTCTGAGTTTAATCTGAGGCTTGGGAGAGCAGTAATCCTGATGCAGCTGCACACAGAATCCATCTGAAGCCGGGTGTTAGTGCAGAAACTGTAGAGTAACATTTAAAGTTTTCATTATGCTCCTTGTTCTCATTTCATCTCATACATTTCACCTTAAACGACTGAACTCCTCTGAAAAGTAATAAAACCAGACCCACATATGGAGGAAGTGCTGCTGAGACGAACGCACTGAGGAATGAAGCAGGACAACGTGAACCCACCTCACAGCAGAGAGGCTGTTAGATCAGGATCTGTCGTGTCACTGCAGTGAGACACACAACATGCTTTGCTTTAAAATACAAGACTGGGCCGTTAAATCTAAAACCGGGTCTGGACTCAGCTCCCTGTGCAGCGACACACTGCTCCCAGCGCTCCTGCAACATCTGGACGTCTGGTTCTGATCACTGCCCATCAGGGATCCCTCCATCCATCTCCAACACCGGGAACCAATCAGCAGCTGGACGATCCAACCGTCCTGTGGAGCATCGTCATGGTGACCAGAGCAGGGGCCGTGGTTACCATGGTTACCGCCAAGCGACCACAACGAGACA